CCAGTCAACTACCGGCTGTTGTACCGCAGCAGTCCGTCCCGGTCCCGCGGTGCCCCTCCCCCCCCCCCCCCGCCTGACCTGGCAGCAGCCGGCAGATTGCTCCAACGACCAGCACGGCGGCCAGTGGCGGCCAAGCTGCGGCCAGGCAGCAGCTGCTGGCGATCGGCCAGCAAGCCAGGCCAGCCGCAGACGCACCAGCTTCAGCTGGGCCGGTACGCACAGGCCGAACGTGCGCCAGACGCGCGGCGCCACCTCACGGCAGCGGCTCCTCCTCGCCCGTGAACACGTACAGACGGTGCTGTGGGTACCTGCCGGAGCCGCTCGCGGCAGCGACATTTATGTACTTTTAGCACAGGCAAAATCAATATTACAACACGCCGAAGATGAGGAATTTGAACACTTCCGCTCTTATATTAACTTTGCCCCCGCAGATGGCCTTTTGTCGGTAGACGCATCTTCAATGTCGCCGGCTGACAAAGCCAGTCGGAGGCGAGGCTGGGATGTCAGAAGCCTCCGCGGCCGCGTGGCTCGCGCTGTGCTGTCTCACCTGCGCTCGAGGCGCGCGGAGCGCCGACCAGAGCACCCGCTCTCGTCCGTCCCCGACGTTCAACCACGGGTGGAAGAAGGCCACATGACGGCCGTTCTCTCGGCAACCAGGCGCGTTTCCGGCCAAGGAGCTGCCGGCACCGGCGGGTCACGGGGGTGTCACACCGAGTTCACCGGGGCCACACTGAGGCTTGCCGAGGTCACATGGTCAAGCGCCGGCACAGGGACAGGTCAGGTAGGCGTCACGTGGTCGTATGGATGGTCAGCTCGGGATTACGTGACGGCAAGGAACTGTTCGCTTCTTTCCTCTCAGGTCAGGGTTTGCCCTGGTGACAAGGAACTGCTCACTTCAGAGTCAAGCTCTGAATGAAACGCTGCCAAATGTGGCAGGTTAGGTAGGCTGGGCAATGTCAACCGGAAACGGCTACCGGTGGTTCCTCTGGTTCACTACTTTCCAAAGCCAGCTTGCGGCGAAGATATGAAACGGATCACGGGCAAAAGTGACTGCTAAATTGCGTTATGTCACATGTTGACATAGAAAAGCCACCCAAAAACTTGTCGATTAATAACAGCCCATCAAGTGTGTATCTGACTCAGAGTGATTGTCTTTGGAGGCATGCATGTGTTTTGCTCCTATACAGACCGTTTCCTGTTCAAACGACTAAAACACGGCGCTCCTTGGGACCTTTCACACGACACCACAAACACGACATCACAGTGTGCGGTTTGCTTGATCATTACAATAAGCACTAGCCTGCATAGCTACAGAACTTGCTTGCAGATAAACGCACACTTGGGTATTCCGGGGCGCGCTAATTGTCAAGGTCATTTGCGAACGGGTGCTTGTTGTCATCGTCCCGCTAGAACATAGGCTCCAGCTTCAAATAGGCGATTGCCACATCGAAATACTTACCGTACTGAGGAGTGATAGGTAGATGACAACAGGGATGATCCCCATGCAGAGTATACAGAATGTTACCCAGGACAGCAAGGTTGGCGATGATTCGCGCAGTCACTTCTCGTCGCATCTGAAAATGCCAGCGCGATATAAATCGGATTTGGCCGGAGCGATGAGCACCTGAGATCGGATTACCAGGAGCGATAAGCACGTGCGAATCGGATTTGGCCCGAGCGATAAACCCGTGAGAATGGCTTTTGCTTGGGCCGTACCTTTGGGGGATGGAAAATATTTTGTTAATAGGCCGGTTCAGCATAGTGCGTACCTGCGTAGGCATTGCACACGTGTGCGTCGTTTGAACCATTATAAAGATCTCCAACTTTTTTAACACCGCATGAGACATGACGAAAACAAGTTATTGTTTTTAAAAAAAAAACAATCTGTTTAAGTTCTTCGGACCCGAAAACTGTCGCTGAACAAACATAACCATCACTCCGGTGCACGAATACTGAGCACGCAGCCCGTCGTTATGTAATAAATAACGGAAGGCACCCGGGGACGTCCACCGGAAAGGGCTCCGGCCAAGGACTTCGCCCTTCAATCTAAGACGAAAACACAATACACTATGAGAATATTTACGATTAATAGGGGTAGTTAGTTGCAGACCAGGCGGGCCCGCTCCTCTCCGCCCGACGGCCGTCTCCAGCCTGCCGGCCAGCCTCTCAGCACGAGTCACTGTCCTGGGTCAGCGCCCGTCCTCGCCGCTGCGGGCTGACCGACCGTTTCCACCGAGATCCCGCTTCAGACGCCGTGGGTCAGACGCCGTGTCAAGGCCACACGTCAAGCCACGTGGTCACGGTGCGATTCCAAAGCCAGAGCCGCGGTCGCCCGTGGCGGGCGGACCGTTGCGGGTCAGTTGGTCAGCGGCGGCTTCTGTGATGCAGTTTGAAGGCTTGCATGTTGTCATTTTGTTCACAGGCACGGAATCTAAGTTCATTTCATTATAGGTAAGTCAAGCCTTTTATAGCAGAGTTGCAGTGATGAGTCGGCTATTTGTACATTGTCGAGCTAAAAAACATGGTTAAGACCGTATTTTTTCAATTTTGTCGGGTAATAGAATGCTTCCATTGCAATGCTCTAATGGATAAACGTTTGAAGATCACTACGTAAAGCTGTCGGCCTGATATCGCAAAGCTTAAGCGATTCATTGTCCGTGCTTTGTGATTGGTACCAAAACGAAAGGTGAAGCCGAACCGGCGACGATTACATGCGACGATCATGCAATTATATGTTTATTATGTGCAATTAAATGACGGGGAACAACGTTGTGCCGTCGTTTGCTTAGCTCTTCACTGGACCCGTCGATTTATATGTGACTGTGTTGACACCCAGTGGCGTAACCAGGCAAGGATTTCACCCAGAAAAGGGTCAAATCGGGACATGGGAACCTTCCACCAAGTAGCCCCACTTTGTCGCCATATACGCCTGTTCTGTTTTGTTCTGTTTTTTGTCGAGGATTCTTTTAAAGCTCGGAATCCCACTATGAGGCCTTGAGGGACCGTTTTGAATGTTGTGAAAGCCCAAGAGGGCTGAGATGTCTAGTACCTTTCAACAACCTCAACCAACGGAGGCCTATTCACCAGTTGCAATGCTGTTGATAATGTCATCTACAGAGTGTGAGGCAAATACTTACCGGTACGCTATACAGCTATGTACCTCATTCATGGCAATAAGTAACGAACAGACACGTTGAATTGCTTCGAAACGTTATTGTGTATCCTGTAGTTTGCCCATAGGTGCACTCTTTTCGAGTTTTTAGCATGACGCTCCCCTAACCAGATGTTTCCACTCCAATATCAGATACTGGACGCGTGGTTACACTTATGATCTCAGAACCTCGACGTTATTTCATACTTTTAACCTTCCCCACTTTGAAACAAACGCCTAGTTTGTTAACACGCGCCCGAGTGGTCGAGTGAATACTATTTGCTGGGGTGGGTCAATTTAAACCCCACCGAGATCGCGAAAACAAAGAGAGCTGGAGACATTGAACTCACAGGGTGAGTTGTTCTGTTTGTGAACTCACTTGTGTCAAATCAGAGGTCCCTAGGTCATGGCCTTATGGTCAAACCAGATAAAACCAGGCCAAGCACCTGATTGGTTTTCAAAGTACTCCCAGACGTTCTCGTGTAAGCGTCTTGAACCTAGATGCCTGTTCCAAGCAAAGGTGTACTGGTTTTCATTGAAGGCCAGTTGCCTTTTCCCTTTTAGAAGGTTAAGGTGACCAATACACTACGACTTTGCTTTTTTGTCGTTTCAATGATAATTTCGTTTTTGTCAATAAGGGCCGGGGATTACGCAAGGCGGTATTTTCCTGAAGACAAAATGTTTACCCGGGGCACTCTAGCTCAGTGACCTTCTTTGACCTTTGAGAAGCCCATGGCACAGGTCTGTTGCGGTTCCTGCTAATAATGAATTCGAAAGGAGCACCAGAATCCATCCCATAAACAAGCTCGAGGGTAAAAGCGGGATTATTTTGATCACCGTCTGATCTTAATGCCTGATTATTATTTTTTAATTAGAGCCCTTTCGACCAGAGATGATCATTTCAGGGCTATGAGATGAAGGAATATGGTTAACGGTGGGGCAGACTCGCATGCGTCTGGGGACCAACCGCCGAGCTTTAACCCGCGCATGCGCGCTGGGCACCCAGTCGGGGTCCCCTTCCCACGGGGCTTTCGACCCACTCGTGACTGACGCACGCGGCGTGCCCCGGATAAGCGGGATGCCGCTAGGATGCAGGATAAAGCAAGACAGAGGATAAGAAGGGCGGATGTCTTGATATTTGATCTTAGATCAATGCAATGGATCGTCACTGCAAGTCCAATTGATATATTGCTCTAAAGCGGTCACCGAGATGTATGGCCTCCTCCAACATTTCATTGTCACATCAGATCGAGGGATTCCCTGGTCATGGCTATGGCTGACATCCATGGTCTGACCTTTTCAAATCATAGGTCATCGACCTTACAAGACGCATCTAATACTGGTTAACAATATGTCTGCTATGTAATTATTTGCAGCCATGTTAGCACTGGCGCGGCTACACCACGCCATTCCCTCACGCTCCCCGTCGTCTGTAACGCTCGTTCGTAACGCCGTTCGGAAATAATTCTGGTAAACCTTCGGGAAGCCCAAATTGATCCCCACCCGAGCGCGTGTTAAAAGTGTTCACCTCTCATTGACGAAGAGCAGAGGCCGGATGCGTGTTATTCAGTTCGGCCAATAGATTTAAGTGTGCTATTGAGCGCAAGTTGCTGGTGTGCAGCGTTGCTTGGGGCAACTCCATGTGATTTAACATGTAACCATCACGGTCGCTTCCCCTATTACCAGAAATGCAAGGTATAGTGTAGTTTAAGGTTACGAGATGGCAGCACAATTCATGTGCAGGATCAGCTGTCCGTCAGCTGGCTCCGCGTTCTGTGGTACGGAGCGATCGCGACGATAGCCGCGTCGCGTGGGCTGTTTGAGTCAGGGTAGTCAGTGCGAGGTGGTCGCGCGGAGAGGGAGTATGCGGCGAGTGCGGCATTAGTTTTAGCTTCATTAGAAAAGTTGGTTTAATTATGGACATAGCGCGTGCTTTAAGTGATCTGTGCATGTTCTGGACATTCTTCGGAGCGGTTTTCTTCGCAGGTGTGTGGACGAGCGATATCGTAGATAGGGGTTTTGGAAGCAGGCCCCTGTTTACTAAATTTGAGTCGGTGTTGAGGAACCGACACCTTGTTTTTTGGCGTAAAGTTGTAAAGATAGCTTGTCAATTACCATTTGGGGGCGTTTGAGCTCGGTGCTATTGAAATAGTTGCTTAATTTGCTTGCACATTTTGCCATTTTCGTCGTTCGAAATCCCCAACGTGTCTTAGTTTCCGATCTGAACGAATTGAAGCGAGCATAAGCATAAGCGAGCATCATTGGTTTGTTTGGTTGCTCTATCCGCGCTGGGCCTCCTCATTTTGAGCAGTTCAAAGCATAGACGAAATGTCGACAAACATATACGTCCGATAGTTCATCCGACAGATAGTCCGATCATTTTGCGAAACTGCATCTGACTGTTGTCAGATGCAGTTTTGCAAAATAAATTAGGGGCATGGTAAATAAGCTAAACCAGCCCTCAAAATGCGAAGGCATGATTTCTTCCGGGATCTCACACAATTTTTTCTCAAAGTTGGGGGGGGGGGGGTAACCTCCCCTAACTGAACAGAAAGTTACACCCTCACATCGGATAAGACATGCCTGCAATTATTGTTCCAAAATGCAGAGATCATGCCGGCTTGTTATGTGCCCTCACCAGGAGCGCCACCACTACCTCACCAGGGACGTCACCACGACCTTTCTAGGGGCGTCACCACTACCTCTCGAGGCTGGAGGACCAACTCATTGTATCGGTGGGGGAAACTTAAAGGAGTGTTCCATATTTGTAGGGGTTTTGAATTGAAATAGCCGATCTGGAAGATCTGTGGGTGCAGTCCACAGCCTTGTCCTAAAGACCCCGACCCGTCTAGTTTCTGAGCTACACGCCCGCGAAGATGGACAGGCTTTTCGGGGGGGGGGACTATTTCAAGGTCACCCAGTCACCCATGACGCCATAAGAATGTCATTTACATCCTGTCAGTCTATTTGCCATGCGGCGATCAAGGCCAAGAAAAATATAATTGTCGAGTCGAGTCATATCTGACGTTCGTGAGAGCGATTTCCAGATATAGCGGCCGTTAATTGGCTTTTAACGAATGTTTTTCAGTATACAATGACGTAAGCAAACAATGACGCTATCGAGGAGCATATTTTTAAAACGGACAAATTTTGTCGTCTAGAGAAGTCTTTTCCCACGTAAAAGTATACCTGTAGTTATAAGTGAGCTTATTTCGTCATATCTGACGCCAGCTTCATTATCTTGAAATGTGGAACATTCCCATGAACTGGTTCTCAACGGACAAAACCGATAACCCAATCCTCTGGCGGATGAGCGAGATGAGACTAGCATGGCTCTAGTCCCTCCGAGACAGTTGTCAGGACAGTTTTCCCTCTTCGGTCTGATTTGGCGTAATCGGCGCTACATTCGGTGCCTGGCTCGCGCCGAGATCTGATGGTGTTGGTCCGCCCTAACCCAGACCGCTATTGCAGCCTTCGTTAAAGCACAGCATCGTTTCCGTTGGAGGGAGGGGGGGGGGGGGGGCACGCAGGGTACGCATGATGTGTCATTGGTGATACGACCAGCTAAGAATGTCACAAAAAGGGGAACGGAAAATAAAAGGTTAGGTATAATTTTTTCCTTGCATCACCATAGGGCGAATCAGAGGTGTTTTCACGAATAACAGCACCAATGTTTTATGCCTGGGATCACGCCAACTGACAACGAGGGGCGGCTGCCGCTGTGGTTTGGCGGGACTGAAGCTTCGGGACTGTCGGATCGTCGCTGCTACCAGGGGTTACATCAACCGAGGGCTGATGTTGCGTGGTCCAGAGATGCAGTTTCCTGTTCAGTTGGGGGAGGAGGGCCCCCTCCACAACCTGGGCTCCAGCCCCCCCCCCCCCCCCTACTGTGAGACGAAAGTGTGCCAGAATCTGGGGAAGAACCTGTTAGTCGATGTGTTTTGGGGGTGGGTTGCGTCACCTCTCGTTGCTCAGCCCCCCCCCCCCCACACCTCAATTTAAGAGACTATGCCCCTGACCTGCCAGTTCCTCCCGTTGGTGACGTCGAGGAGGGTGAACTCAAACCTTCGGAAACGTGGAGACTTCCCTGAGCCTGCACGCCCCCGTTAATCTCCGCTGTTTTCACCATGCATTTATGACCACCTTCAGAACTGGGGCTGTCAGGATCCATTATCAGACCCTCCTTGTACTTTTAATGCGATACATCTTTGACTTCGGCGTTCACAGTATGGCTGAACCAGTTTTGGCACAAGAATGAAACGTTTGATCGTGAGGCACTATTGCCTTAGGAATTCTTTCATGGCGAATGCCCCATTGCCGATTGAAAACTCGCGTGCATTTGTGCCGCTGCTGTGGTTCACGGCTGTCGTGTAGCGCGGAGAGGCGTGAGCACTGCTGGTCTCGATCGCACGCTCTCTCGGTACGAGGCAAGCCATCATCATCTGTACCTGCGCGTCCCTGCGTCGTACGCCATCACCATCTGTACCATTGCACTCCGGAGATCCTGGCCTCGGCCTCTTCACCCGTTTTGATTTCAGAGATCATCTCGGAAAGAGCAAACGATAGGTATCAATAGTTAGCCAAGTTATCCCAGAAAACGCGTGTAACCAATTGGCAAACTACTGAGGCAAGGCAGCTTGGGCGACCGCCTTGAGTGAGGGACAGGCCAGAACCCCATTCAGTTTATTAGCTTTGTCCGCTGGTTTGACTATGAAACCCGGACTTTGATGCTGCAGATACACGTACGACGCCGGCAGTTCCCGCAGTCTGTAGACTGCTGCCTTCACGTGCTTCACCTTGGGGTGTGGGGAAGTGGTTTGCACGCAGATAGCCGCAGGGGCGTACGAACTTCACAGTGACTGGGAGGACCGGCCGTCTTTTTGAAGTCGGTTCCTCCCATGCGTTATGATCAAGATCCTTATCTCTCACAAAGAGCGGGAGGGTCATTCCCCCCCCCCCCCTCTGCACATCCCCTGTTTCCACACCCGCGGATGGCGACCCTATTACGACGCACCTCCCCGTCCATAAAACAGTATCGTTGCTCCGCAAGATACGAGATACGACAGATTCCCGGGATTCTGTAGAGCCTATCTCCGGTGTTGATGTCTTGTAGAATCTGCGTAACTGAACACGTGCAGCATGCATGCCTAGTGCACACTAGTCGCTGTTTCTGTAAATATGCCGCTGTAGCTTTGGCGATGAATTCCACAAACGGTAGGGTGTGAAACTTCACGACCGTTCGCTGCACGTCCACCCCGAGTTTACCGACGCTTATCGGCATCGGGCCGTCGCTGATCCCTCATCGCTCTGCGGTGTCCCCGCAAACCCGTGTGTAAACAGTGCGGCGAGCGGCCGAAGCCGGAGGAGGAGCCGGCGCCGCGTCAGCTGTGTATGTGTGCGCGGCCGTATTAGGCCGTGCGAGTTCGCCTGGCTGGATGACGGTGCGCCGCGGCCGGCCGTCGCCCGCCGCGCTGACACGGCTCGGGTCCGCTCCAGGATGCGTCAGACGCGCCGGGCTCTGACCAGTCCGTGCAGTGGAAGGCGGCGCGATGCCGGACAACAACGGGCTCTCCGTCGAGTCGACGCAGGCTTCGGATCACTTCGACCAGCTGTGCGCGGCGCAGACGCTCAAGGGCATCCTAGGTCACTACAGGAAGCTGTGCGCGGCCCTCAACCTCACGCCGGCACAGTTTCCTGAGTTCTACCCGAAGTTGAAGGTAAGCATGTGTGTTTGCCCTCCGCGTGTAAGCCGGAACTGCTCGTCACAACTGGGACCAGAAGCGTAGGAATGTGCCCAAAAGTAGGCTCGCCAAACCCTTACTTCAGTGAATTCTTGCCTCCCATCGACATAGTTATAAACATAACAGCGTGTGAAACTTTCACGAAAGCGTGCGGGCCGTGGCCGGTCTTGCCTCTCCCGCTCCCATGGCCAGCATAGCAGCTGTGTGCGACGTGACGCTCTGCCTGCCGCGCCCTCTGGTCTCCCCCGGGAGCGGCGTCCGGCGCCGGGCTCATGGGTCCAACCCGACTCGTGGAGCGACCTTGTCACGTCTGTGCGGCGCACTGTTTCGACCACCTGTGTGCCGCTGCCGTCGGAGAGACCGTGCAACGTCACCACCTCCCCACGCGTGCCGGTGATGCCGCAAGTGAGCGGGGGCATCAGTGAGCGCATCCATTCGACCGGCGTCGCCCCCGACGCCTCAGCCTCCACCGCGGGGCACCTGTCGCACGGCTCGAGCAGACGGGCGACGCAAGGCCAGAGCCGGACGTGTGCCACGGCGAGGGGTCCAGCCCGCTCTGGGCCTCGGGCGCTGGCGTTCCTCGGCGCTGTTCCGTACTAGGCTTGAACTTCAGTCAGCGCCCGAGCACACCGACAAACGCGGCCCGTGAAACAGCTGGCGAAGTGCCTCCTACGCGCCTCGCAAGATTTGGTCAGGCCCGGTCGTCGCGGGTCCAAGACGGCCTCCCGTGCGTGCGGCGTGCTCCACAGACTAGCGCGATGACTATGTGCTCTGACGCCATATATGCTAGCGAGTGCTTCGATCAGGGTTGGTCACAGCGCCAGCATGGTGTTCCGTTTATGGTCGCTGAAGTGATTTTGCACTGGGCAGTGTATGGCTGCCCTCAGCCCGCGGCCTTTTTACGCTCTGACGAGTACACGGAGGCCGTAACGTGACCCTGGGTAGAGCCATGGTGGTGACGCGTGATATGTGCAGCAGTGCTCGGCTCCTGCCGGTAAGGCCGGCGCTTGCGCGGCTGCTGGGGGGCTGCAGACGAGCTGGCGCCCCATATAAGCCGTGTTTACCGGGGGCGTCTCCTAACACGTCGCCTCCCGAGATTGCAGCTCGAAGAATACGCGAGGCAAAAAGAAGAGTGCATTTGTCGAAGACACATGATTGTGTTAGAATGAGGTGACGCGTCAAAATTATAGTGCATGCATCTTTATGAGCTCGTAACGCCTATGAGTTCGCCCCCGTCATCCCCTCGGCTCGGGGCAGAGCGTCCGAGCCGGCTGTCCACGTCAGCTGACCGCGCGAGCTTGGGCCTGGCGGTCGGCCGGCTGAATCGCCCGGCTGGCGGACCGCTGGCCGCTGACGCCCACTGCCGCTGGCGCCCGCTCGTACATCCTCCATCACGGAGAAAGCCCGCTAATGGGTCCGAAGTGAGCCAAACTGTGGAGGTGGAAACGGCGTCCGTGAGGATTCTAATGACTCGCGGGGAGACCAGAAATGGGCGCAGCTGGCTGCTGGGCGGAAGGAATTGCGTGGAGCACCGATGATACTGATGCTGATCTCGTCAGAATGAGGCGGAAGTCAATGATCAGTTGCCAATGCATTTTTCAATATATACCATAACGCATCCTGAATCTATGCAACTTAACATAAGCCGTTAATATCTTGTTATGAACTGAATGGGGTCTGCCCTCCTTCCAAAAAGAGAGTTTTGTTTTCAGGAAACGAGCAGAACATTAAGCTTTCAAAAAGCAGGTTTTCAAGCGTCATGAAATACCAACGGCATTTTTTTTCTTTTGGACATTTACCCTCGGCAATGAAGCCATGGCCTAAACCATCGCCATAATTGCCAGCAGCGGTATGTTGCACTCGTTTCACTTACAGTCCGTGTGGGCACTGAAACTGTGCAGAAATATCATGCAACTGTTGTGGAAATATTATGCTGGCGTAAAGAGATGCCGGCTAACAGGAAAAAAGTGATGTGCACCAGGCTGTCGCAAATTTCTGTGTTGTTAACGCCCCAGCAGGCATTTTCCGACCAACCCAACAAGTTAAATGTATCAAATAGCATCTACATCAGAGGCGTAGTTTCAAAAAATGGGTTGGGGGTGAACAGTGAAAAATAACCCAACTTCTCACCAAAACATGCCAACAAATCGGTGTCTCGCCCGATTTGACCCACTCTCTTCTCAAGTGTGGGGGGGGGGGGGAGCTGGAGCCCAAGTTGCCCCCCCCCTCCCCCCAATTGAACAGGAAACTACGCCCCTGAACCACGTGCAATGAGTGGGTCGTGAGTAACACGCAGACGCTGTAATTGGCCCATTAACCGGATGCTTTTTTGAACCGTCCTATGCCTTTGATCGCCTCTGCCTGTAGCCAGCCAACGTCTTTGGCCTACTGCAGCGGCTCCTGAGCGCTAGCGAACAACGCCACGCTGTCCGCTCAGCCGGCGCGGCTGCCATACCGTTGTCGGCGAAGTTGGCCCGTCGACTGGTCAAGCGGGTTGGGGGACTGTTGATCGGACAAAATGGTCACCGAAGTAATGCGGCGCCGTCCGTTGTGCTGCTCCCGTATCGGTAGGGCTGGGCGTGTCCCTGCGTGGCCTGCAACTGTCGCCCCCCCAGCTCAAGTGCCACAAACCAAACTGATTTTCGAGGAGGGGAGAGACTGCTGCCGCCCTCACACGCCGTCGCCGTCTGCCTGCGCCGGAATCGCGCTGTTGCGATGCTCTTTGCGCCGGTCCGGGTTGGTCGACGCCCCGGGCTGGAGCGTCATCGCTCGCCGGCCGACCAGCTAGGGGACGGCGCGGCCCGCCCGAACCATCTGCTGTCAACGGATTTGTGCGATCCCGACGTCATGTGACGCCACATGACTGGCTGGGCGACCGCTCGCGGCGGGAAGCCGGTGAACTGAACGGACTAGACGGCCAGGTTGGCGCGACTTTGACCTGCGATGAATTAGCGGTCTCGGCGCGGTGACGTGTCACGTGATGGTGGCGCGCGCTGGGCAGTGTTTGGCCTTCTGTGGCGTCCGTGATAAGATAGCAACAGCCGGGCGTCCGAGTCCGGGCCCTTTACTGAGCATCGAGGAGGCAGTAAGCGGATGTGTAATCATCACTTGAGGGGCGGGTGCGAAGGTGCGGGGCGGGTGGACCAGCGTGATATGTGACCTCCCGTGTCCTGCCTTCTGCAGTCTGCTGACCGGCCGGGCACCACTGCAGGAGAGGGGATGGGGAAAGAGGGAGGAGGGGTGGGGACGGAGCGCGTCCGCGGCCGGTTCGCCGACCGCTCTCTCTCTCCCTCCCCACCGGTGGACGCGGCGCGGCCGGCTGGCTCATGACGACACGCTCCGGGGATGCGGCGGAGCGGGGCGAGGCGATGACCTTGGGGAACCTGTCGAAAGGAATGCCCGGGACGTGCCGCCGACCGTGCGGGGACGGCGTCGACCGCCGGCCCGGGGAGGCTGCGCTCGACGCAGCATCGACCGTGACCGTGTCACGCCGGCGGTGCCTTGTCTCGTGCGGGTGCTGACATCGTGCATCGATGGCTGTATCCTGCCATGGACGCGCGGGATCAGCATGTCACGTGACTAACGCCACTGGATCTCCCGTGTGCCCGTCCGCCTGCTTGATCCCTCCCATCTCGCTCCACTTCGTGGCACTCATGTGGCCTGCGTTTGGTCGCGGCTGGGACGGCACCGACTGGCGCTAGTCGTGTCCGCGGTCGTTAGGAGAGCTCAGCTGGCGCCGTCACCTCCCGCCGCCGTCAGCTGGTGACCCGGGCCGCTACCGGCTGACAACGGCCGCCTGGCCCCAGCCCCGGGCACCGTGCCCCGGGCGGGTCGCCAGCAGACGACGACACTGCGCGCACCTGGGGTGCCGCCGGTGACGGCTATCGGGTCACGTGGTGGACAGGCGCTGGATGGCCAGTGAGCGAACAACGGGACGCACCTGGGGTGCCTCCGGTGGCACCTAGCGTGTCACGTGGTGGACAGGCACCGGTGGTCACTCAGAGGACGGCACCTGGGGCACCTCTGGCGACACCTAGCGTGTCACGCGCTGGACAAGTACCGCTGGTCGGTGAGCGGACAGCGGGGCGCGCTGGAGGCACCCCGCGCCCAGCGTGGCGGGTATTAGGTCACGTGCTATACAAATAGCAACGGTCAGACAGCGGGAGGTGCGGCACGCGCGGGCCTCGGTCGTCCCAGCGGACTGCCGGTTATGGGGTCATGTCCTGACCGACTCCAGCGGTTGGCCGGACGGGTTCGGCTCGGGTCGTCCCAGTGAGCCTCGCGGGACCGTTACATCCCAGCCATGGAAATGCTGGCGGGTGATCTGTATGTTACGTAAAGTGCAGGTGGCGTGCCATGTGTCTTATCAAGGGGTATGGGCCCATGCGAGCTAGTGTGGAATGCACGTGTTTACAACCTAAGAGTGCGCTGATTGCCAATCTGTGCAGGGTAAGCTTCGGTCACTGACGCGTCCCGCAGGAGTCCGTCTTCAGCCTGCCCGGACATAGCTGAAGCCCACTGTCTGACTCGCCTATAAAAAACGTGCTGACGACTTAGGCATTTCAGCTCCTCAATGCTGAATATTTGGGGCGGCTTGCCGGCGTGCCGGCCGAAAACTGGTTGTGAGATGAGAGCGGTGCGGAGCGGACTTAGTCGGACCGCTGCAGCTCCGGCGGCGGCTGCCGGGGCATCCAAAGCCTCCTCCTCTCGTTAGCCCTTTGTCCCGGACGCAAGTCTGCCGCACTGCTGCTCAGTCGGCGGCAATATCCGGTGGCGGCGCACTGCCGACCGACTGCGTACGTGCGCACTCCGACCGGCCGGTCCAAGGTCGCCGACTGGCTCCGGAGTGGATGCCGGCGTTGATGCATTGACGGCCGGCTGGAGCGGAGACAACACGGGCGCGCGGCATCCGGGCGCGGCGGATGCCACGGAGAGGGGCGGCGTCTGGCAGTGGCAGCGCCGCTGGCGGCCCGGGCCTGGCTCGGGCGGGGTCATTAGCACGGGTGATGCTGCAGCCCGTGCAGTGGTGGCACGCCACATATGGCGGGCGCCTGGTGCCCAAACCGCCTCCGGCCGGGGACGGTCGGTGACACCGTGGGCACACCCGGTTCCACGGCTTAGTGGTGCAACAAAAACGCCTACCGATAGAAATGCCACGTCATAACTTCTACTCCCAATACTTGTACGCGCCATTAGTGCGCCGCGGCAAAACTTGTACTGCAAAGACTTATGCGCGACACATTTTTTGATGCTACACGACAAAACTTGTGCTTCAACACTTATATCTGTCGTTACCGCTACTGCAAAAACTTATGCAGCCACTGCTTATGCACTTCGCTACTTCTACTGCACTGCAAAGAATTGGACGCGACACTAGTGCTACGGCAAAGACTTGTGATCAAGGCTCTGCTGTAGAAGTAATAGGCGGTCAAGGCCCTGCTGTAGAAGTAATGACTGGCATGTGTTTTTGCAGTATAAGTTTAGTCGTGTAGTGCTCATGTTGTCCATGAGTTTTTGCAGTGAGAGTATTGCTGCGTATGTGTGGAGACTATAAGTCTGCTGCATAAGTAATGACGAGTGTAAGGTTTTGCAGTGTAAGTTTTGTCGTGTAGCACTCATACCGTGTTTGAGTTTTTGCAGTAGATTTTTTGCAGCAGGGCGGGCCCTTTAGCCGAAGTAGTCTGATTGAGATAGCGTGTGGGACATAACGGATCAGGGGATCATGCAGGTGACTGCGCGGCCGTGGGGGGGGGGGGGGGGGGTCAGCCATTTGCCCCTCAGATGCTGCGCATGCACCGAGTGTAGGGTTTCCGTCTTCACGAGACTCTGTTGGACGTGACGTGAGAGCTGCATTATTCGTGATGACGTGATACGGTGTGCGTTTCAAAAGGTGACCTGAGATGTGTGGCGTCAAATGGGTAAAGCTGGGAATGTTATTTCCGCACTTCCCAATATGAAGGCTGGTCACACGTGTGCACATATGCCATGGGCTCATAATATGAGCGATGGTATTAGATATAGAATATAGCAATGATATAGAATATAGCAATAGTGTATGGATGTGAACTTCGCCACAGCGATTTGAATCCCACATCAGCTTCCATAGTGTCATTAAGTCATTTCCTTTACGTGACCGATTGTTTTCTCCTTACAGGCGAATCTCCAGTCATGGAAAGCTCTGGGCCTGTTTGCCAAGTTCGACAAGCGGGCGTCTCACAAGTGTTACAACCGCGGGCAGGCGTGTGTCGACACCAAGGCAAGTGCGCAGTGTCGGGACGGCTGGTCGGGCTCTGGTGGGCGCTGGGAGTGCCGCACAACACATCCAAATGGGTTGTGATCAACGCTGCGAATGAAAGCAAGTGTAAATAAAACAAGACAGAAAGGATTCGCCTTCACCACCGAAATCCGACACTTCTCTCAGACTCTGACGAATTGAAAAGTGACACACTTTTCCTTAATAGGACAAATTAATTTCACCGCAAACAAACCAACAGAAATATGCACGCACCTTATTAACGTGATCTGATTGAGCGGTAACATAGCCTTGCCGCGACATATTGAAGTAACTGCCACCAGCTGTCATCTTCCACCCAGTGTCGCCACTTCGATACCATTAAATTTCGCCCGCCGCCGTCGTCCCGCCTCCTATCTCAGAGTCGCCACATTTATTCCGGCTGTCTGTGACCTGTCACCCGGCGCCCTCGGATCCGGCCGATTCGCGGTGACCTCGCGCGGGTCTGCCGTCACGGATTGGCTGATACAGATCGGGGGGCATTTCTATGCGGGCGGCGCGGTGCGCGTGGCAGGTCTGCCGGCCGGCCGGCCGGCTCGCTGGCGCCCTGGCCGCCTTATAAGGCCAGCCGGCGTATAAAGACGCGCGCCGCCGGCCGACCCTCGGCGCCGTGCGACGTCACGGCACGGCTCAGCTGACCCCGATGAGGCCGGCGTCGGTCATGAATGTGCCAGTCTGGTAGCTAACGCGTGCACGTGGCTGGAGCTAGCGAACGGAATCTGGCCGTTAACGGAGATGGTTTGTGACGTCACCATGGGAATAGTGACGGACGTCTTTTCGATTGGCGACGGACGCTGTCGGGAAGGCGTGTTTTCATCTAAATAATTGGTTCAGTGTTTCTCTCTAATCAATAAATGTACTCAGCTGACCATGTCGGAAATGCTAAGCATATCGACTTCTTGGAATTCAGTGGTCTTCTGTCAGTCTGCATGAAGGAGATCGTTCACAAATTTCACAGTATTGTTGAGTCACGCATGCACCTACTGCAAACTCACTCCGAAAATGGGCGGCCTTTAGTATCAGAGATGGCGTGACACTCCGTAATCGGCACGGTCGTACGCCGGTTGTGGGCAGCGCACCCCATGGTCTCATGACTTCTGAGAGGACGCGCCCCCAGCCGGCGTCTGAGGGGACTGGAAACGGCCCGCCATGCTGGTCTGGAAAAGTCTGTTGACTTAGACTCGAAATATTTGACGAATACGCTGTGTGGTTCTGTCACAACTTGCGCCGTTGTAAGATTCGGAGAGATGGGCAGCTGGCGCCGGGGCCGTTCGCCGTGGCTGGTGTAGCGGCGTCAGGTGGCCACGTCAGCTGCCAGCCACCTGGAGTGGCGCGGCACGTTTGGAGTGTAACTTGAACGCTGTCTCGGCCCTGGTGTGCCGGTTGTCTGAAGCAGAGCAATCGCGTGTCTCGTAATCGTTTGCCTACTGCATAAGTGGACGATGTATTTCCGACCGGACGCAGTGTCCCAAAATGCAATCGTCATCATCAGTGTCGTCATCACTGTATCACAGCTGTGCTCCCCTGGACTCGTAAACTATTTGTCATTCTTAGGAACAGCGGTGGTGGGTAAACACTGTTTGCCAATGCTGTGCTTCGGTCCACTCGTTTTCCATATACGTGGATTCTGCGATTATTACGCTTCAGGTGAATTCATTTAAATATTTTACCTTAAAAACGAGCGGATCTGGAGCGCATCGACGACAGGCAGCGCGTGCCTTAGCATTCGCTTACAGAATGGTTCTGCTTTGCATACAGGCCCCGCTAGCTAGTGGGATTGTACACTTTTGAATATTTGCATCATGCATTTATTTGAGGTACAGGTAAGTCAGAACGCTATTAAAGCTACACCAACGCTCGTGAAATCCGCTATCTTGGTAATCATGGGCGTGGTCGCGCAGACAGTACTCAAAACTTATCGAGGGCAACCTGAAACTTTAAAGCAGGCTGTCGCCCAACTTACAACGCGAACCACTTGACTTTATGACGTCTTCAGCCAGCTACGTATTCTAAGCACGCAAGGGTACGATGTGGTGAGAGTATATCTCAGGGAGAGGAGATCGGAAAACTTATTTGTGCACTTTGCTAATATAAAGTGACACTTGCGTCGGCACGTTAGGCGGCACTGTGTCAGCTGATTGCGCAGAAGGCACACGGTGGCATCGGCGCGCCCGCGCGGATGTTGTTTCGGGCGGGTGAGGCATTTTCACAAAAAAGGCCGCTGGCATTGTACCTTTGCCACCTCGATCTGTCTGCTTTTGGAGGTTGCTCAGTTGTTTTGGAAAAGCATGCAATCCCCTTGTACTGTCTGGATAGTTTCCTTGGTTCCGGGCTGGGCCAGCATGAATTGTGATATCGCTATTTATTTTTGTGGCTCCTGGATGTTTGTGCTGCAAACAAAAGCTGTATTGTATGTGCACTGCTACGTTAGGACACATTGACGCACCAAAAGAAGAAAGGCGTGTGTCACGTTTGCCAGTTTTTGATATGAGGCCAGTATTATTAGACAAAATACGGTCTTTGTATGCTTGCCTCCTTTTTTAGAAGGGCAGTAAGGTTAGCGAGGCAAGGTAGAAGTTGGGTGCTCTGAGAAGGTGTACAATAAGACATAACATGTATTATGTCGTATCGCATTTACTCTTGCAAAAAGTTTATGTTAACTTATCACGAAAGAAGGCAGTCGTGTCAAGCAATGCAATATAGTGAAGTCAGGGGGTGGTATTTTATGTTATAATAATGACCTCTGTTCCGAGATGCAAGTCATCGTAACTCAAGTGATAATTAACTTCGTCCTGAAAATGCTGTCGCCGTTTCCTCTATTTTGGGTCGTAGTGCATCATTCAGTTGCGTCATGCACATCAGCATTTCCCAATCGATCGCCATATGCAAGGATCGCCGCCTAGCCGAGACCCCACATGCGCTTTTCTTCCCTGGGACGAAAGACCTCCGCCTCGTCCATTGGGCGCCGAATCCGCCGCAGCCACGTGGCCGCGGTGCGTCATGTCTCGTGTTCGGGTCCCGTTAGCCTGCAGATGTTTCAGCGATAGTGATTGGTGCCGGCCCGTCTGCACCGTCCGGCTGTTGTTTCGGGTGCTGGTCTCGCCCGCGCCGCCGGTGCCGGGATTGACGCTAATCCATGCGGTCTGGGTTTCGTGACGCCCCCCCCCCCGCCCCTCTGCCCGCCGCAGGTGCTCACGATTACTGTGATGATTGGGGCTTTGAGGCGGATAGACTTCTTAGTCATGCAGCGGCCACCGTACCTGCGATTGGCCGCCGCGGCGATGCTGGCTTATTTATCGGTGCATGTAACATTTAGGCCATTAGTGACGCCACGTCTGATGGAAACCGGGCCAGGGAAACACGTACGCCAGGCACCTGTGATTAGAGGTGCCGGTTTTTGGAAGCTCTTGCCCAAAGCCTTATCCAAAGCTCAAGGATAGACTAGCAGTCCGTCCAGAAAGTGTCAAAAAATCAGGCTGCTCAAAGAATTTCTAATCCATTCACATCAAATTATAACACAGTGATGCAACCAATGATCTGAGTCACCCCTCGCTTCGCTCGTACCCTCGCCCGAATCTGGAAAGAAAGGAAGTGATCGTGGGTAGTTAATCTGCTTCTGCATTAGAGGGCCTTAATATACCAATGTGTTACACGGCATAATTATGTCGGCTGTCCAAAAAAAAGAAGATCTCTGCCCCTGTCCGTCCAATTTCCACATTGGACTTTGTTGAAATTCTAAGAAATTGGAATCCAATCAGCACCTATACTGGGGATTAATGCCGGTCCGTGGGGTCTTTTGGTGGTGATTGTCAGACTGACAGTCCGGTCTGTACCCCAGGTGCTGGTGATTGGTGCCTATCCGTGCGGTCTGTTGGTGGTGATTGTCAGACTGACAGTCCGGTCTGTACCCCAGGTGCTGGTGATTGGTGCCTGTCCGTGCGGTCTGTTGGTGGTGATTGTCAGACTGACAGTCCGGCCTGTACCCCAGGTGCTGGTGATTGGTGCCGTTCCGTGCGGTCTGTTGGTGGTGAATGTCAGACTGACGGTCCGGTCTGTACCCCAGGTGCTGGTGATTGGTGCCGGTCCGTGCGGTCTGTTGGTGGTGATTGTCAGGCTGACGGTCTGTTCTGTACTCCAGGTGCTGGTGATTGGTGCCGGTCCGTGCGGTCTGTTGGTAGTGATTGTCAGGCTGACGGTCCGGTCTGTACTCCAGGTGCTGGTGATTGGTGCCGGTCCGTGCGGTCTGCGGGCCGCCATCGAAGCCCAGCTGCTCGGCGCCCGGGTGATGGTGGTCGAGAAGCGGGACCGGCTCAGCCGCAACAACGTCCTCCACCTCTGGCCCATGGTCATCCATGACCTCAAGGCGCTCGGCGCCAAGAAGTTCTTCGGCAAGTTCTGCGCCGGTGCCATCGACCACATCAGTGAGTCGACCTTGGGGGAGGGGGAGGGGGCGGGGCCAGCGTAGGTCACGCCTGCTGAGCACTGATGGGCTTCGCGGAAGAGCCCGCAGCCTGGTCTCGCTCGTGGTGAACGCATGACGTGGCGCTGGGGTGGTGCCGGTGCATTGTCAATGCGCATGGCGCTGAATATATGCCTTACGGCTAATGCATGTTATTCGCTCTCCTCTGGCCTTGCTAGTCACTGTCGCGTTCTGGCAACAATGGACGGTTTGTTTTGCGGCTCATGATTGGCTGTTGTTCCAAGATTTGAATCTTTTCCTCTGTTGCAATGAAGTGGTCACCTGAAAGGCTCTGGCGCCTCCATTGGAAGGCGTTCTTATTGTTGTTATCAGAGACACGCACAGTCTTGATGGGGGAGGTTCCATAGTGTTCGCCGTGGTCCGGCACTAACGCCACATTGACGGCGGGGTCCCCACGGCCGCGGCAAACAGCTCAGCAATGCTGCATCTTTCACCGCCGGGGCGTTCGCGGCTAGAAGATCACTTACAATGGTCGTATGTGTGTAATCTTGATTAAATGTGGCGAAAGCTCATTAGGATTCCCCGGGCGCCAGCGCGCGCTCGATCACATGTACCTGAATTTCTACTGGCGATGCCGTCTGTCGTCGTGTTTGCGCCATACGCATGACGCGCTGGTTCGGCCGGCTGTGGGGCTGCTGGGAGCTGTGAACACTACCGCAGACGGTTTGAACCCACCCACTGCTGGCGCAGTCACGGCCACTCACTCAAGCCAACGGTTACGCAGATACGCATAGGTACTGTCTACGAACGTTAAAGCGACCGCGAAATTCTATTCGACACCCTTTCAACGCCTGTCACCGTGTGGTGCCGCACAGTCTGCCTCGATTTATCGTAGACACGCTTGGCACGGCGCAAAGGTCGGCGCAACGCCTGGCTCAGCTGCCGCGACCGTCGACAGGCGTCATGTCGGCACAGCTGACGCGCGCTGACGGGCTCAGTCACCCCGCGCGGCCCAGTACGCGCTGCAGCGGCCCGCTGTGTCCAAGGAGCCGCCGTCTAGTGGTTGCCTCACTCGTGGCCCACTCGGCACCCGGCGCCGTTTGCATACGTTGGGAGCGGAGCAGAAGCTGTGATCGATCGGCGAATGACGCACTGCTGCTGATAGCGAGGTGCTGCGTCAGCGACTGTTTACACGCGGCTGGCCCCTTCGTCTGAGATGGCGCCCCCAGTTTTGGTACTTTTGGACTCTTACGTGTCACGATCATCGCCAGTTGATGTAGGTTCTGAATTGATCGGAGAGATGGAGAGATTTGAGGATACGACATGCCAACTCGGCACAGGACCTATGAAGGATACAACATTGTCTTCCGGACATCGGATGTGCCTCATGTTTTAAGTCAACAGGATACAGCAGTGCACGGTACTCACGCATTGACCCAAGGTGACATATACGATGTTTAAGCCGTAATCGACGTAGCATGCCTTGACACAGACGTGCCGGCAGTGTTATCACCTGTTATGTTAGCCTTTATGGCCTGAGACCAGACTTACCCAGCCTCGCCGTGACAAAGCGCGTTCGTGGCGGCTTGAAATCAAAGCCGATGTGCATTTCGAGCCCGTGCACGTGATGAAGTGTGAGTACGTGACCTCCGTGTGTTGCGTGCCGCGTCGAGTGCCAACCGAGCATTGGGCCTGGTGTTCAATAACTCCGACCCGGCTTTCACCGTATGCCTGGCTCGGCGGCGTGGTGGCCAGGCAAAATCCGTGGGTTTGTGATGTTGCAACAGGTGGTTCTTGGGAGATAGCGGCTTGTCGCGACGTGGGATACCATCGTGTATGTGTCATGTTAAGAGCTTCATTTCGTTGGCTGCTACTCTGGGTAAACATTTTTTGAGCTGCTGATACCACCGTAGTTTTTTATGCGACGGGAATGCACGGGGACTCACGGGTCTTTAAAGCGATCGTGCTGTTATCTCCGTCGCATGTTTATTCGAATGTACGCCACGCAGATACGGCTATCTGTGTTGTGTTGCATCAGAGATACGCCTCTGCCGAGGAGGGCTGGCGTCTCGAGCTGTGCTGTCCGCCCGGCGGGGGCGGCTTCAGCAAATACAGAGATAGCTGGTGACTCAGCCGCATCCGGGAGCCGGCGTGGGTCCGCCGGCATCACCGGAGGCGGCTCGGCGGGCCGGCGAGCAACCGGCGCCGCTTGAGTCAGCCGCCGCCGCGGCCACCCTCCCCCCGGCCGCCGCGAGACAGCCGTCCCGCAGTCGGCTGCCGGCGCCGGCCACCCGGTCAGGCTCGGCCGGTGGGGACAGGGTCGATGCTGAGACTCGCGGTTTCCGCAGCCTAAGTGGGTGCGGCAGATTTGGTACCGGAATTTGATTTTCACTGATGGACGCATTGTGTGATCCTTGTTTTCATTGCGTGCGAGTCGATCACGGCATGCTGTGCGTCGCGTCAATCAATGCCCATCGGCTGCTCCTCTGGTCATCGCGTCACCGTCGGTCTCTGACGGTGACCTCTGTTGACCTCTCGTCTCTAGTCGGGCGCAGTGCATGCGCACAGTGCAGGCGCTCCTCCGGCCCCCGACTGAGACGCAACCAGCGTGTGATTGTTGGCGTCTCGGCCGCCGGCCACCAGCTGTGGGGGGAGGGGAGGGGGCGGGGCGCCCTTGGCACGTGGACACGCTGCGCCCACGGCCGAGTTAAGCGGCAACGGGCCGCCACCGGCCGCCAGGTGTTTCCGGACTGTCCCGACGCCGGCGACCCGTCCACGTCCGCCGGCTGGTGCCGAGATGGCGAGGTCGTCCTGGCGGTCTGCTGCTGCAGGTCACGGTCAGACGCTGATGGATAGCGCTGAGGCTCGGTCTTTCACAAGCCGAGGCGCGCTGGGGAGCGTCGGACGCGAGCCCGGTCTGAACGCGGCCCGCCGACTGGCGTCCTCGTGGCCTAATGCTCGTGGCCTATGGCCTAATGGCCTAATGGCCTAATGGCCCAATGCTGGCGTCAGGACGGATAGCCTCCGTTTGGGCGCACCACCGACCGTGTTTCGGTTTCCCGGTTAACGTGAGCATGGCGGATTGCGGCGGCTGCGACAGTTGTGTTTGCCGTAACATGATCGCCGCGGTTCGGGTGTCGGTAGCGTGTCCTGCGCCTCCCCCACCCCCTCGCTCCATCTCTCCTCGCTGGCGCCTCGCTGGGTCGGGAGACGGGGCGATCTGTGTGCCGCCGATCGTATTGAGAGACGTCGCCAACGCCCGCTTATCAGCGGTGACGAGCGCCCCCTCTGACCTGGCCAGTCCGGGCTGCAGGAGCCGGGCTGGGCGCGATGGACGGCATGTATACAGCAGCGCAGCTGGTTGGCACAGGTACCTCGAGCGGCGCGAAGGGTCGCGTATGTACTCTGCGTTGTTCTTGAGCGTCTGTGAGGTGCTGCTGTCCGCGGCCAGGGCGCGTAAACGGGCCACGGTGTCAGTGGGTCGCTAGATCGGAGGTGACGCTGCCCCGACGGTCACCAGACAACTGCTAATGCACACACCTGTCGGACTCCCGTAAAGGAGGCGCTGGGCTGTCGCCAGCGCTCGACCGGCTGCACCTGGCACGGTCCGCCCACGTCGCTGGAGGGGCCGGCCTCCGGGGGTGGCGGCGAGGCTCTGTAGAGGGGGACGGCGCGAAGAGCGCGGCACGGGTCAGAGGCAGGCTCTGACGAAGTCACTGCATCGCATGCAATGGTCTCTGCTGCTGGGAGATCTGTGCCAACGAACGCGCTGCCTCACTGCCAGCCTGTCGTTCGTCTGAAGCGCATCTGATACCGATGTACGAATGCATGGAGCACGCTCCGCCTGGAGTGTAAAGTGATGTTCTCACTTGAGAACAATCTTCACTTGATCTTCTCTTATCTTATAAGAACCCATGGCGGTCTAACTGGAACACAACCGCCCGACAAGCGTGCCTATCTGTTCATCACCACTCCCGTGCAACATTTCCACCACACGAGGCTTACACGATGTAGCAAAATGGAAAACCAGTTTCTGTCTCGAACACGGCAGTCGTCCGCACCTGATGATGCAGCAGACCCAAGCCCGTTGCTCCGGCCCCTCCGGCTGTTGTGCCTCACCTTGGCATCCAAACGGGCCTGACGTATCCCTTCTAACCCTGCCCGTGTGGACGGTGCGCTTTTAGCTCCGTGTGTTTTGATACGGCCCGATATACCCCGGGGTCACGGTGAGCGCTCTGTCAGAAGCCCCTCCACCCTCCCCCTCCCTGCCCATAAATCAGCGAAGTTTCCGGAAAGCCGGCTGCGCCTCGGCGCGGTGGGAGTGCTCGTCAGCACATCAACAGGGGTCACGAAAGGCCGCGCCCGAGCATCAGCGCGGTGGCTGTGGGAGAAGAGCGACAGGCGGGACCGGAACGCCGGAGGCGGCCGTCTGTACCGGCCGTTCTCAGCTCGTCGGGCCGCGTCCGCGCCACGCGCACAGATGCAACAGTGCCTGGTGCAGTGAACAAGCACGGCCGGGGGAGACGATGCCCGTTCGCAGTGTTGTCTTTGGGGGACCATCGCCGCCTCCTTGGCTGTGGCGGCAGAATGGCGAATCATTGGGTCACAATGGGATACATTTGCATGGCCTCCTGTTGTTTGAGCAAATCGGCTCCAGGGGCCAGTTGCACCAGCTTTGCATGAACGCCCAGCGTTATCCTTGATCTGGCAACTGCCTTTACGGATGACATGAGAAAAAGTTAACTATCAATGCCATGGCCAGCTAGCTTAAGCACCCACACACCTCCGAGCATGAGACGTGGGTCGGGTGGTCCCGTCGCGTGCCGGGTCGAGCCGGGCCAGGGCTTGTCCAACAGGACATTTAGGCGCGAGGTGTCCTGCCGTACGAACCGTCGACGCAAAAACATGCCCCCCCCCCCCCCCCGCTCACAGTTCAGCCTAGACAGCGCGCCTCGCCCACCCGGCCGAAAGCTTTGTAATGCCCAGAATGAGTCATCGCCATACTGTTGATCGGCGACGGCCTCCGTCCTGTTGTTGCAGATTGTTGACATTGAATTATTGCGAAAGAAAACGGGATATTGTGACGCTTATGCAACGCTTGTCTGATGCACTGGAACATGTTGCCGGCCCCATTTCCAAGGCGAAGCGAACATGCGAGGGACGCAGACTTGCCCTTGCCCTTCTCAGAGATGGCTGAAGGTGACGCACGTAACACCGCGTGCCGCCGACCGGCAGGTATCCGCCAGCTGCAGTGTATCCTGCTGAAGGTGGCGCTGCTGCTGGGCGTGGAGCTGCACGAGAACGTCGGCTTCGAGCAGCTGGTGGAGCCGTCCGACGAGCGGACCGGCTGGCGCGCCCGGCTCAGCCCGCCTGACCACCCGGCCGCCCGCTTCCAGTTCGACGTCCTGATCGGTGCCGACGGCAAGCGGAATACGTTCCCCTGTGAGTGGTTCGCGCCGGCTGAAGCTGCGTGGGGCTCCCCTGTGGGCGGTTCGCACCGGCTGAAGTTGCGTGGGGCTCTCCTGTGAGTGGTGCGCACCGACTGCGAACTGCGTGGGGCTCCCCTGTGAGTGGTGCGCGCCGGCTGAAGCTGCGTGGGGCTCCCTTGTGAGTGGTGCGCACCGGCTGAAGCTGCGTGGGGCTCCCCTGTGAGTGGTGCGCGCCGGCTGAAGCTGCGTGGGGCTCCCCTGTGAGTGGTGCGCACCGGCTGAAGCTGCGTGGGGCTCCCCTGTGGGTGGTGCGCGCCGGCTGAAGCTGCGTGGGGCTCCCCTGTGAGTGGTGCGTGCCGGCGGAAGCTGCGTGGGGCTCTCCTGTGAGTGGTGCCGGCTGCTGAAGCTGCGATGGCCCCGATGCCGACGCGCCCTTAAAAACCAAATCACCACCGAAGCTGCGTGGGGCTCCCCTGTGAGTGGTTCGCGCCGGCTGAAGCTGCGTGGGGCTCCCATGCGGGGGTGGCCGTCGGCTGGGGCTGTGTCGGAGCCGGTGCGGCTGGTACGGGTCGTACGGGTGCACCCCAGCTGGCGGTGGAAGGCAAGCGGGGTAACACTCTGGGTCCCAGGGCCGGGCTCTGAGGCTCGCGCTACAAGGTTGTCATCTGTCGTGTCGCAGTCAGGGCGGTGCCCGATCACGATTTGTGGCGGGTGCTCACGCCCGGTCGCTGGCGGGTTTCAGAGAATGACGACAATAGTTTCCGGTTTTTTTACTGTTTAGTTTTCGTGCATCGTCGCGAAAAGGACCGCACGACAGTGTTCATGAGCGACAGGACTGATCGGGCACGTCTATGAATGCAACCAAGTTCTACGTGAGAGCTCGGCGAGTGCTGAGGAATCCATTCTCCGTCGTGGAAGTCGTCCAGGGGGCGAAATGCAAAGCACTTCGCTGTGGGAGTCATGTGGGAAAAAAGCAGCTGACTTTGGTGGGAGTTTACCGGGACACACGTCGCCTCCAGACGAGAGCCTTGTCGGACGTTTTAATACGCCTTCCGGTGATGGCTCGTGTTGAGAAATTGAGCCTATTCCCGTGTGAGTCGGGCGGGGGGAACGTGCGGTTGCCCGCGCTCGTGGGACCCAGTGGATAAATGCGGTGCCGCGGAAGTTTCAGTCACGTTCCGCATAGTAACTATCTGTAAGTCGAATTGGTCCCGAATTGTTACCTTGATAAGCAATGTGGCAGTCTGTAGTAGCTAACCCGATCGAGGAGGACAGTCGTAAGCATTCTCCACGTCACCCAATCTGTCACATTCACTTGAGATGTGGCTTTGTGTGCTGGAGATTAGCACCTTTACAAAGGCGCGCTGGAAAGGTCACCATGTTTCAATGCGGCGAACTCGGGCATGAGTCGGGATGGAAACCGTCGAGCAGGCCATGGCTGTTGTGAAAATAGCTTTGGTAGAGCATGAGACCAGAGCATTTTTGAATGACGCTATGTCGTTCATGTGGAAGTAGAGCTTGCTGCAAATACCTTGGAGTTGTTTTAAAGGTTATCACATATGTGAATGGCAGCTTATGGCAAATACCTTCGAGTCGTCAAAAATGTCACTTTCGCCGAGTGGGGTTGGTGGTGTCCGCAGCTGTAACTGAGTTGTATTGGGGTCGTAAATGGATTAAAGAAGTTGGCTTGTCCGTCCCGATTGTGATGAGGTGATGTGACGTATCGTTGCCCGATGTCGGTGCAGATTTGGATGGTATTGAAAATTATTGTTAGTCGCAAGTTTTCAGCTCAGGTTTTTTAATAGGCCTCAAAGGTGAGATTATCCCTTGAAGTACAGAGACAGTTTTAGGCCATATTTGCCATGCAGGTGTTGGGTATTGGGTGTGAACACCTGCGCGACTGCTGTCAACATGGTGTCATGATTATCGACTGGTTTCTTAGTGTGCGTGTTCGCGTCGCGTGGCGGCCACGTGTCAGATGTGCAGCCACAGATACGGTAGGCACTGTCATGCTTTACCACGAGTTGTTTCCCTTACCTCGATAAGCTCAGTTTCCAAGATGTTTTTTATGGCGACTGAAAACATCGGCAAGTAATGTGCCAGCGGCATGTAGAGCAAGCTCCAACGGCTTTCAGAAACACCAGGACCCTGAGTTAAGTGGAGATGAACTTAAGAAGGCTCGAAAACGAAAACGGCATTGTGAAGCTCATCCATCGTTTACGTTAGGCGTGTTTTGCCACTGTCACCCCTGTACGTGTCTGTTTATCGCTCCGTGATCTGTCCTCAATGCACCTTGTTAAGCGGGCCGTAAAGACTGGCAGCAAGCCCTGTTGTCAGCAGTAGCCGCTCCCCATATCGTAACATCGGCATCCTGTGTCCGTCATTCCTCGCAGTACTCTCTTTGTTTGTATTATTCGTGTCGTTTTTGCTCATCGCGCGGCAGGCTTATTAATAGCCAGCATAACGGGTGGCTGTGCCGGCTTGTACAATTCAGTGCAGTGATGTAGCTGGTGAAGCCTGCTGCCGACGTAACGTGATGTAACGTAATATGGACCGCGGGGAATGAATTCCACATCTGTTGGAAAGCTTCCAGACCTCTGCTGGTCTCAGCAACATAACAGCGACGTGCTCGTATACACGGCACTGAGGAATGTTCAGTGGGCAACAGGCATATTTCAAACATAGTTTTGATCGTGGTGCAGATAGAACAATAAAGCTGAATGCATTGGTCAGCGTCTATATCCAACTACCAATCCGTGCGCGTGTGGTCGGACGCGAGACTGCCGGATGGATATTTATCCATCCTCTGCTCCTCTGCATTCAGTGAGCTCGCTTGCACAATCGTTTGTTCTACCAGCACCTCGCGTGACCTGTGTTACCTCCTTATTTAGTCCTTCTTGGTGCCACACCGTACTCGCCCAGCGTGCGTTCTTCGCGAAATGAACGCCGGCTTGCTCCTATGTGTCGTCGGTTGTGTATGCTGTCATGCGTAGCTGTGGCACCCACAGTCAAGCCATGTTTTTGCTCGCGATGTCTCATAGGTTCGTTCGTCGTTTGCGCCACTTTTTCCAGTCGCTCGAGTCGCTATCATTAAGCCGACCGTCCAGACGCAAGGCCAGCCGACATCACTAAGAAATGATCTAGACCCTGCTCTCCAGTGCGTCCGCACGATCACCAGCTGCCGCGCTACGCTGTTGGTTATCTCGTGTCTCCGTCCTCAGGCTTCCGACGCAAAGAGTTCCGCGGGAAGCTCGCCATCGCCATCACGGCCAACTTCGTGAACCGGCACACCGAGGCCGAGGCGAGCGTGGACGAGATCTCCGGCGTCGCCTTCATCTTCAACCAGAAGTTCTTCAAGGAGCTGAGCGCCTCCACCGGGATCGACCTGGAGAACATCGTTTACTACAAGGACGAGACGCACTACTTCGTCATGACCGCGAAGAAGCAGAGCCTGCTGGCCAAGGGTGTCATTCTGGAGGTGTGTACTGTACTGACTGGTGGTAGTACGGGGGGGGGGGGGGGGGCATTACGACATTTCTGCGCTCGATACTCATGGTCTGAAGGCTACTAGGCAGCCAGATGTCCATAAACGCGCGCCCGGGTGGCCGGCTTGATACCCTTTGCTCGGGTGGGGGGTCAGTTTGACCCCCCTTAAATCCTGGAACTAAAAGAGCTAGCGACACCAAATTTACAGAGCGTGTTATCCTGTACGTGAGCTCACTTAGGTCATGTTTCACGTTCCTAGGTCATGACCTTCGGGTCAAATAAGGTCAAACAAGGTGAAATTCCACGCTGGTCTCCAAAGTGCCCCCACAACCTAGATAACCGTTTCTAAGCAAAAGGTCACTTGCTCATTTAAGGTCAGTGACCTTGTTTGACCTTTTGAAGATCATTATGACCAAAATCATACAAGATCGTTCCGAGTTTTGCATTTGAATAAGCGACAAAGATTATGCTAGGCAGTATGTTCCTAAAAACAAAATGTTGACCTGGGTCATTTTGGATCAATGACCTATTTTGACCTCTAAGAAGTCCATGGAAGATGTATAATGCGGTTCATGCTATCAATGCATTCGAAATGAGCACCAGAAACTATCCCATACAGCAAGCCCCAGGGTAATAAAACAGGTTGTTTTTGACCCTGGTCTGACCTTCATACCTGACGTTAGGTCAATGTGCTGTGCTCATTCAACTGTTGTATTGCTTAAGAAAGTATCTCAGAAATGTATGGCCTCGTCTAACATTCCGTTGTTGCATTAGATTGAACGATTCCCCAGAAATTGACTTCGCTGAAACCATGGCCTCACTTTGGCCTGCCATAGGTCAGCGACTTTACAAGGTAAACGATTCGTCATTAAATTGTCTAGAACTATGCAAAAATCTGGCGCGTCTGCGCCGCACCATTCAGAAGCCATCCTGGAAAAACCTTCGGGCGGGTCAGTTTGATCCCCACTCCACCCGAGCGCGTGTTAATGCGGGTAGGTGTGTTTTTCAGAGCTGTTTGTTTGTGGTATCTGTATCACCCAATAGCGATAGCCCCGCGGGGTGTCAGCGGGAGGCGACATGGTGACGAACTTCTTTGCTCGACATCGCTATTGTTGATACAGCTAGGTAGGCAGCCGCTCATTAATGCGAGCTTGTGTTGACACTGGAAGTGCACTGTGTTTGTTTGTGGTCTCGTTACCGTTGGGTTCCTGCGGCGGCACGTGATGTCAGCGTCTGGTGACCTGATGACGTTATCTGAGCTGTCGACCGGGGCAACGGCACACTGCGCCGACACCTCGGCTCCCAGCGTTGGGCATCGCGGTCGCGGTGCGGCTCGAGCCGTCGCGGCTCGACCGTTCCAACGCGTCCGAGTGTTATCGCACGCAGCGCATCAGCGTGGCTGGGCGTGCAGGACGTGAGGCCGGCTACCCGACACCAGCGTGCACGCTCGGCCAGCCCCGCGCGCCCGTACCGGCCGCCGAGCGCCCTCCCCGCACTGACCGGCCGTGGCCGCCGGCGCCGCCAGGACCACGTGGACACCAGCCGGCTGCTGGCGCAGGACAACATCGACCGGGCGCGTCTGATGGCGTACGCGCGCGGGGCGGCCGACTTCTCGACGGACGGCCAGCTGCCGCAGCTGGTGTTCGCGCTCAACCACTACGGCCTCGAGGACGTGGCCATGTTCGACTTCACCTGCATGTACGCCGCCCGCCACGCCAGCACGGTGACGGTGCGGCACGGCCACAGCCTGCTGCTGCAGCTGGTCGGCGACAGTCTGCTCGAGGTGGGTACGGTTCGGCCTGCGGGGGAAGGGGGGGGGGGGGGGTTTGATCGATGCGGGGTCAGTGTGTGCCATTGCATTAGAGATGTGTTGAAGAACACAATCCAGTCGGAGGTGTGTGTAAAGAAGGATGCCATTAGAGACCACAGACTGTGAAGTGTGGTGCGGATTACACAGTGTTAACTCCTCTGTTCGCTGGAAGAGGCCCGGGCCAGCAAGGTAGCCTCGCTCGCTGGCTGTTACCATGTGGGTGGCGAAGTATTTTAGTCATGCACGTGGTTTCAACTGTTGGCCCCAATTCAGATGCGCTGCAAATGACGCCACTTGTATCCGCCGCCTTGTACATTGTATCTGGTATGTAAATCTGCGACGCCCTCGTCCGTGTCATGCGTGAGCGTCCCCGCAGCGTGCACAGCCTCCACGCCGGCTCTTTTTGCAGCCGTTCTGGCCGACGGGCAGCG